CCACCAGCGTCATCACCCCAGGTCACCACTGTCCCATCAACTCGGACAGCTGTGAAAGCGGTGTCCGCGCCAATGACCTGTGAGGAGCTGGTTGGCACCCAGTGGTGATCCTTCTTGATCATTCTTGATATGTAACATTAAATATATTTAAATATTATAAGTGTTGAGTTGTTTTCTTTGGAATCATTTCGGGACTTTAGGGTCTTTGGCAGCACAGGAAACTACAGTGGTTTGATGGGACTCGTCCCTAAGACTGGCGCATCATGATCTGTTTTGGCACCATTTTGGCACCCATATCTCAGAGATGTGAACCACTTTCTTGTGCCCCTGCCTGCTTCACTCTCTGCAATTGATCCTTCACTTTGCTACTGTCACCACCAGACTCAGCTTCACCCCACGTGACGACTGTTCCATCCCGGCGGACAGCAGCAAACGCATGCATTGATGAAGAAATCTGCTGAACTGCGTGAAGTTTGTCTCGGACCGAAACGCTTTCTCCGCCACTCACAATGTGACCCCAAGTGACTACATCACCATCCTCTGTGAGTGCAGCAAATGCATGGCCTGTTGCCACCACTTCCTGCACTTTTCTGAGACGATCCTGGACCTTGGAAGTCAATGGAACTCTGCAGAAATGTTCCAACAATTTGTATTTATATGTATACTATTGTATACTATACTATACTTATTTACACACTAACCTCCAAAGAAGCCTCCCGCAATACTTGTTCAAACGAGTCTAAAAAGTGCATTCTGTGGAAGAGTACTGCATTCCTTCCGGAAAATGTGCCCTTAATGAAAGAAAGTGTGGCAATATCTTACAAATGCAGTGCGTATTTCGTGAAATACTTTTTGCGAAAGTACTGTGTTCGGGTTTCAAAGCGCATAATTGTTCAGAATGTGCAACTCCATTGGTAGCTGTAAGAAAATGTGGAAAATGGCAGGCAATACTATGAGAAATGACCTTTAAGCCCAGTGCTTTTAACTGACTGAAAGTGCAATATTTCTATCGAAATGTAGTGTTCACTGAAGAATGATGATATAAAGTAATTCTTGAACCAATCGGTTTAACGAAAAAAGGGGAAAGACAAATGGTTCACAAATTGTAGCCTCACTTTCAAAAAGACCAACGCCAGGACAAAAGTGCGTTCCAAACGGTGTATATAATATTCATGTCAGAAAGCAGATTGCTTCGCACAATTGCACCGTAGCAAGCACACACGGCATGCCTTTCAAAAAGATTCAAAGTGTCTTGTTTTTAACAAAGCATGGCATCTCTAAAGAAATATCATTCTTTAACAATTGAATTGAAGTGCGGTGCTTTCAACAAAAGCGTAGCTTTGCATTGGACAAAGTCAAGTCTTCGCTCAGAAAAGAGAAGCTATTCAGTGGGAAAAGACAGCAGCATTTGAAGAACTGCATGAAGCCTTCAACAAGGTGTAGTATAGTTCTCAAAACTCTGAACCTAGGCAGGATGCCTTTGGAAACTTCCAGTACTGTACCCATACAAAAAAATGCATGTCTTGTAGCATGTGCACCAGTAAAACCTAGACAACGTTCCTTCCAACAAGCCCGATGCAATTTTACACATTAGGCATATTACTGTAGTCTATTCTTTTCGAAAACACAGCACTCTTCTGCGAAAGAATATGTGAAAAAGCAGGGCATTCCTTTAAAAGAGATAGGTTGACAACCAAGCAACATGCTTTTCTTAGAATTTAGTAGGAACACCCAGAGGACTTGTACTGAGGACATTGTGCGCAAAAGAAAGACTCAAGACTCCCAAGCCTGAGATTCAAAAGGTCCCTACAATCTTGAATCCTGGGAGACAAGAAGTCTCCTCAAGATCTTCAACCCCCTGGACCGGAAGAAATCTTGAAATACGCTTGGGGAAAAGGAACAATGCTCATCAATATTACACTACAACTTAAAGTAGACAAACATGTTGTAGGTATTCACTGACTGTCTCTATTACTAGTATCTCTACTAAGAATTGTAACTTCCTCATATGACCTTGTGTATCCTTATGTCTTTATGTAAATCCCGACCAAGCCAGCACTTAGCACTTGCCATCAATTCCGTAGTAAAAAAAGCACCATCTTGGCAAAGGTGCCAGGCGTATGTCGCAATGGTTGGGTTCACCCCACGTCATCACATCTCCAATCTCTCGCACAGCTGCCCACGTGCCCTCAGCCGACGAAGCGGCTTGCTGAAAGCAAGGCGGTTGCCAGGCGGTCTGTGCCCCCCAAGCGAGTAAACTGCCATCAGCTTCAATCAGCACCTGAGCTAAGCTATGGACCATTGGTCAGTTATGGTCCCGTTCACCCTGCACCAGAGCATACCAGACCTATGTTTTCGTGTGAAAAATGATGTTTAAAATGTACATATAATAAAAGATCGAAAGTGGGGCCTGAGGGCCTGAGGCTTCTCATGTTGCACTGATGGATGGTGAACAAAGACTAAAGAAATCCTTCTGAGGCTATACCATGCAAACAGGCTGCACCACTGGTGACTAGATACACCAACCATACCCTGATCAGGGAAAAAATGACATGAATCTGAGAAAAGACACTTGTAATTGTCACTCGTCCTTTGAAGTCTGAAAAAGGAGGGGCAGGCTGCGTCGCTGAAAACAAGGGATCAAGCCATCAAGCAAGATTAGTACAAGCAGTATCAAGCAGCTATTGCTTTTAAGTATAGTTGACGGTTGCTTTTCCACAAAAAAAAACACACACGTCCCGCGCCCCACTCGCGCCCCACTCGCACCCCACCCGCACTTGGACTTCAAAGCTTTGGCAAGTCACAAACGTCGGTGATCGTATATTCGATGTCAACGTAGGCCGCCGCACAAGTGCATTGACTGTATCGCCATCTTGAAGACCCGCTTCAGCCAGAGTGGATGTTCCGCTCAGCACCTACGGGTACCAACATCTGCAACCAGGGCTGGACAAGGTGCTGGAATGAAAGTATCTTGCTTGATGGAATCCGACGTGATAAATCTTCAGCATTCCAACCACTATAAAGCAGGGGGTCCATCCTGTGGTTTTGTACACAAGCTTTGAAAAAGTCCAGCTAAGGACTACTCTTTTCGCATGTCAGCGTACTCCTCAAAACCTTCAGTGCAGGCAGGCCAAACAGATTACTTTGTCCATCTTTTTCCAAACAGTGCAAGTTCTTGTGTGAAGAGATACAAGCGAAAACTAACATAACATTATAAACTAATCTCAAGTCCCAAAAAACAATCCAAACGCCAAGGCGCTTTACTTCGACTTGAAAGAGATGCAATGCCAACTCCCAGCTCCTTTTCAGCTGTGCGGCGCAAGTCGTAGACGAAGTTGTTCTGGTTGCAGTCAACCGAGGCCGTCCGACCGCTGAGTAGGCGAACGTGAATCGGCATCGTTCGAAGCGGCGCGACCAGGCGGAAAATTCCTCGCTTTGCAAAGGCGCTGTGTCCCGTTGCACTGCTGTCCGGTCACATGCCAATTTGGCGCTCAAAATGGCTCCAAAGGCAACTGCCAGGAGTTCTGGCTTCAAAAGCTACCTTGCAAACAATCTGTTCGAGTCCACTTGAGCATTTGAGAAGATTCATGTGACCTATCTTCCTCAAGTGCAATACAAGTTCTGCAACTATGCACTTATGTACCTTATGTGGTCACAGCATGAAACGCTGGAATGCAGCCCGTTTTGGGCTGTCTGCGCCTGTCTGATAGCTGCAGAGGTTCGAAGAGAATTATATCATATTATTATATTATATTATATCCATGTCATTTCTTCCTGCGCAACAATATCTGCGTGGAAAAGCTGTGCAGCTGTGCTGCCGTGCCCGGATCCAACCGGATCCAACCGGATGCTGAGCTGCTGAGCCCCCACACCACCTGCATCAGTACTGGTGATTGCCCTCGAGCCTGCCCAGGGCCCAGGCTGCCCAGTCCCCCAGTCGACCAGTCCATGTCACTTTTGGAATGTGCTACAGCCCCATAAACTGAAAACCACCATCTATTCATCCAACTTCAAATGCAGCTGTTGCTGTGATTTGTTCTTTTTGCTGTTCAATTGTTCAGCCAGAGCAAAACAATGTGCTTGCTTCTTAAAAGATTCAAAATGCTGTTACACAACATGTCTGTAACTGAATTTGTCCCAGAATGAGGCTCTTGCAAAAGGCCATCACAACTGAAATCTTTCTGTCAAAGGCTCACATCTCAGACATCTCGACCTCAAGGGCATTGGCCATTGGAACCAACACCACCCAGAAGACCTCGGTGCAGCAATTCCCGGAGGCGGAAGTTGCGGAAGTCACAGACAGGAAATCATCTCCAATCAAACATAATCAAACCATGTACTCCAGTGATGTTTCAAAATGTTTCAAATGTATTGAAGCGTTATGAATTTCTTCTACCAACAATGGAGAAACGTGTGAATTGCACTTAATTGCACCAGCTTGTCTTCGTTTCGATCCTTGAATGTCCTCGATTTTGAATGGATCTTAGCCTTTAGCTGCCACTCCTTTTCCCTCGCAGGTGGGCTATCTCTGCTGTGTGATGTCTTTGTCTAGTTCTCGGAAATCTTGCAGTTCTCGGAAACTGGCCGACGGAGGTGAGAGCGTGAGAAGACTGCCCTATGCCGATGCCCCAACTTCGCGCAAGTGATCTGAATCATCTTTCCATTTCCTCCACCGGTTGGCGCAGAGTCATTCTGGACTTAAGCCAGGGAAAAACCACCCAGGAAAATGGTTCGCTTCAATCTTGTTCTCTTCGTACTCTGCACTCTAAGCCAACATCGGACCGGCTTGAACATCACCAAGCACATCCAGTTTATTCAAACTTAGAGGCGATTTCTGTCAAATACTTGATGGACCTTGTTGGGTTAAGGCGAAGGCCCAGAATATCAGTCTATTCAGGACTATTCCAACTCCTGAGGATCCTGGATCACACATCGATCTTGTAGTGCTCAAGCAGGACCGTCACACCCATCCTTCATCCCTTCCAGACATACACAGCTGTCTACCAGCGAAAGGGTCCAAATGCTTCAACCTCACACAAAGTGAGTGCTTGCCCACTAGGCAGCACCACACCTACAACGTTGCCTGGTAGGGCTTCTCCGCATTTCACCAATCGTCGAGATCCAGCTGGCAGCACGCGTTGCTGCATGCCGCACAGGGGATTTTGCCGTGGGTCTGGGTCAAAGCCAATCCGGACCTGCGGTCGTTGGTACTGTGGGGGTGCCATACAGCATCCCCGATTGAAACACCTTGGAATGTGAGCTGCAAGCATATTCTTAAAAAACTTCCTAGATATTTATACGAACCGTATATTATATAATATGATATAATGTATATATATATATACACATTGCATATGTGCATTATGCATAAATTCACATCTATATAATATGATTTCTGCATATATCCCACATATTGTTTGAAATACTGGTTCCTGAAACTTGCCCGTTCGTCGCGCTTTCGCAACCTTTCCCAAACCTAAATTTCATGCACTTCGTTCTCGTCTGAGTAGAAACCTAGGAAACATTGTGTACCTTTCGCAAAAAAAAAAATCCCCGCGCTTTCGCCGCGCTTTTCGCTACCTTTCACGACTGCGGCAGCACATGCACTTTGAAAAAAGAAAGGTTGCACTGTGTTGCACTCCAGCGATTTAGTGAACCCCCACGGCCCTCCGTGCACCTCCCAGCCATCCAAACGCTCATGGCAGCAGTCCCACCGGCCCAATACCCTCACAGCAGATATCGCGTGAAAAGGCAGGGCAGTGCTGGCTGCCCACCAGGTGCCATTGCTGTCAGTTTCCTGCAGAAGCAGATTCTGATCATTTTCGATACATGCTTCAATAGTCCTGGACTGACTTTTGAAACTCAACTGTCCAAATCCAAGCTGGTTGAGACAAAGTTGCATTCTTCAACATGGGAAAACCACGGATAGCCATGTTGAATCTTCAAATATGTCAAAATATTTGTGCAGAGTTGATAAAGCTTCCACATTTCACGGACTTATCTTGCTGTCTAGACATGCTCATGTTGGGACTTAGGACACCATGATGTTGCACCGTGCATGTTGATTCTTTTGCGTTTGAGCGTGTTTCGTACAGAAATGCCACCCTTGCAGCAAAGGCATTGAAGGACAGCCCACAGCCCACTTGTCTCCTCCGCTGTATGGCTGCAGCTGCCCATCAGAAAGTGAGGGTCGAACTTGCCATCAATAGCACGCTCTGGCTCGCCCCCCCAGTCCAGTGACGATTGACGTGCTTCATTCAATGGAAGAGGTAAGAACTCATTCTGAGCTATTCCAAATGTGGTGCCCGGAAGCAGGCTCAGAAGTTCTTCATCGCAGTCTGCGTATGTAATGCACCAGAGTGAGCTAAAGCTGGTGAAGAATCTGCAGTTGCGGTCGTTTCGACATCGTTCTTCACAGCGTGGATCATAACCTTCGAACAAATGGGTGTCCGTGCTGTTGCACTCCCTGTGACAACAGACTCTGCCCATGGACAAGCGAAACGCTTCTCCTAGAAGAGGCACTAAGATCTCCACATCTTCCGCCTTGGAGGAGCCTAAGAGCCCCACATAACGCCCTTCCAAAGCACAATGCGCCACCAAGGCCACCAAGTCATCCGAACGACCATGGCTGCGGTGGCCACAACGCCGATTTTGATGCACCACCGGAGAGTCACCTACAGTCACTGCCATGGGACCGGAGGGACCGGTCGAAGTTGCCAGCTGCACAGCCGCCACGGTCAAGCGGTCTGGAAGTTCCATCCTCCACCACGATGGAATCTCCATGTGGAACCATCCACTTGAGGCTGTGGGCAATCGGTCCCCCGCAGCAATATTGCCAAGGCGAAGACATTGCACATCATCTTCAGTGGCTGGAGCCCAGCAATCGTAAACAGCTTGCAACTCAAAAAATAATTCCTCTGCTTCGCGAGCATCAGTCAGATTGTTCCGTTCAAACTGCACCCTTTCTGGATACTGTGAAGTGGTTTTTCCCCACTTCAACATTTGTCTCAGAATAAGAACGTCGAAGCCTTCGGTGTCAATTTTCAGAAGGTGAAGACTGGTTACATCGAAGCGTTCCATCAAAGAGGCATAGCTCACCGTGGGAACCTTCACCACCATCTGTGCTTCCACGGCCTTTTCTCCCGCATGCACATCGACCAGGGCAGCAGGTTTATGAAGGCTGGCTGTGGCTCTGAACCACCAGGGCAAGCAATATTGCCTCAATTCAGAACTCTCTTTCTCAAGCAATGGCAAGAAGTTGAAAAACATGAGTTCAGCATCCTGCTGATACAAGTAGCCAAATACATCAGCATGAAAGGGTAAAATATTTTGGGGTGTGACTGATAGATCTTTCGGTCCCTTTGGGGTCATACTTCTTGTCTTCTTGTCTCATGTCCTCTACGAAGACTTGCAGAACAGGTTTGGAAGCAATGGGAACAAAATCTAACCCAGAAATGACAAAGTCAAGCAAAGCCACAAGCCCAGTTGTCTAACCGTAGCATTGCTGCACTGGGGTTCCATGTACTCCTCAGTCGGCCGTGGTTGCTTTCTCTCACGATCAGCATTGAATTGTCAGCAATATTGTGCATCACGCCATATATCCATAGACCAAGGACGTAACGGCATTTAACCCACAGAAATCCCGTGAATGTTTGTCGTAGTTCTTCCTTTTTGCCTACTCAGCTTCACACTTAAAAAAGGAAGGTGATGTAGAATCTGTGTCCAATGCATGCAGGCATGACGGATGACAAGTGGCCCTGTGAAAAATCCAGCAGGTACGGCTCTACAGTCTTGGGCTCAAACATGCCAGGATACTGGCTCACTCTATGATGTCAAATTAGTCTTCTTCAGCCTGTTTTGTGCTGCATTTGCTGCATACTTTTACCCCTGCCAAACACCCATGCAGCGTGTTCTGCTGAGAGTCTGGGCGCACCACGTAAAGATCGGCTTCTCCATCCTGCTCAGCCACAGCGGCCCAGAGCTTGCGTTGCCCGATTTTGGTCTCTGAGGTCTCCTTCACTGGCAGCTGCTGGAAGTGTTCCTCCACCGGCTCGATGGAAAGACCAACCGGATCTGTGCCATGCAACTGCTGTGCCAAGGTGTCGAAGTCCGCAGTGCCAATTTCCTCGGACCCCGACTCCCGCCTTTTAGGGGTTGTGGGCCACCGAACCATGGGTGAAGCTAGGTGAGCTCTGTGAATAAAGGAGTGTCAGGCAGTGGGAACCGACAAAGAAATGGTACAGCTAAACACATAGAAGTGAACAGCACGGAAATCTCTAAGAGGTTCCTGTACCCTTTAGTATTCGACGGTTCCTGGCTTAAACGGTAAAAATTGATTGATAAGCAGCAAACATGTGACCTCTTTCAGACCTGTCTCATGCCTCTTGAGTACGGCTGCTGACACTTAAAGACATGTCAAAGCCTCCGGCCTCACTTATACACTCTCTCTCTCTCCAGCCGCGTCTCTATATAATCCAGTGCAACTCCGCACACGCTCACACAAAGGCACAAGAGTATCACCCCCAAGGGATAGCTGCAGGTGCTCTGGCACGACCATGGCTTGGCTCCAAGCATGTAAAAGCCCAGCGGCACTGAAGGATCACCTTTTAGTGACCGTTGACATCAACAGGATGCCTCCGGATAGTCACAGGAAGTTCACCAGCTGCACTTGTTCACTTTTATTGGAGGAAAAAACCTTGAGGGTGGCGTGGGCCATATGCAAAAAGAGCCTGTTTGTTGGCATGGTTGGGCCTCTGACATGGAGAATGATGCTGCGTCCTCCAAAAACAGCTGTGAATGGCTACATTCCAATTCTGCATAATTATATGCCAGCCATGTTTTCTGAAGCAACAACTCAAGCCGGACCATCCTGCATGTTTTTTTTAAGGGTAAGACCACGGTCACCTCTCCTTGGCATAGCGGCAATGTCTCAACTGCTGAGCTCACTGCCAGGTCCGCCACATTTCTTTTCAGCGCCATGGTGTTTCGCTATTGGACCTATACAGCTGCGTTTACAGCTTCGAGCCGATTCCGCGGACAGCTGGAAGTAACAGGGTCGGTTTTGCCACGAAGGATGTCTTCGATCTGTCAAATGAGGCATGAGGTGTTCACTGTGTTCCAAAGATTGCATCAACATCTCCCGTGATGAAATCTCCCAAAGGCAAATGTCTGAAGAGACGAGCCGACACAGCAAATAAATCCCTTGCAGGCTATCATTCAAGATTATTCAAGCCTATCATCAAGTCATTTTGATGTGATTTCATGATCCTCAGGCTCTGCCTTGCATACTCTGCCACGCAATCTTTTTCTCAGCCTCTTAGAGGTTGCCATTGCGCAGGATGGAGAATGTGACTGTCACGTGTGAGAGTTCTTTCGTGTGAGAATTGAAATGCGTATCAAATGTATTGGTAGAAAAGGATAGAACACAAATCACCAAACACTCACCATACCAATGCTCTCGCTGCAAAAACAAAGCAACTGCTGTTGCACAGTGGAGAGTGCTGAGTAAATACTGATGCCTTTGATCGAATTCCACATCTTCTTCGCCTCCTTTCCTAATGAGAATACAGGTGGAAATGTCAAAACAAAGACAGGTACATGCCAAAGTTGTTTTGAACCTGCCACAAAAAATAGATACTATATGGGTGTTGATCAAACTTTGTTCATCCGGAAATGACCATTCTTCAGGAAATAAGATTGTACGTTCGCGAACTCGCAAAAAAAAAAAAACATGAAAACATATACAAAACAATGCAAAAATTACTGAAGCATTTTTTCGAGGGTTCGAAACATAATATGAACAACGTGTGCAAACTTTACAAGGACCTTTAGATCAATACCATTCGATACCCATATGTACAGTTTTGTCTTCCTGCTATGTCTGTCTTATTCTGTCTTATGTAAACCAGGCGATTAAGTTCAATTTGTATCAATTTGTTGCCTCTCCACTGCCTAGGAGCTGCTCCCTTTGGGAGATGAAAGCTCATGGGAGAAGTGGAAG